GTAAAGTCACCACGTAGAAGATTATTTTATTTTATTATGTTTTATTGTGACTTTACCGCAAGAACCAAGAAGATAATCGCTCTAATTTGCTTTTTCGTTTTATTTTCCATTTCTCTGTCAACCCATCCAGTTGTAATTATTTAACGACGGATGACGCCTTCAGGGGCACCTGACAGTTATGTAATGTTAGGATTTTTTTACTTTAAACATAGTTGAATGGTGGAGGAGAAGGTGCAGAATGTATTTTTTTTTCATAGTCTGTGAAAAGAACACGTTGGCAATTGGTGCTCATTGCTGCAGTTGTGGAATCCGGAAATTTGAAACACTGAAGTACCTTTCATTGCAGTCTTGTTATGGAAAATTATTAATTTTATTACATGGCATGAACGTTGGACATGTATGTACCATTACCTTAAAACGTAAGTTGAATGGATCATGTATGTACCATGCTTTTAATTTATGGGGTTTTTTTAATTGATGAGGAATCTCATTTAGCTTTTGTTTTTACTTGTATTAACTGCTGCTGATTTCTTGGCTGTTGAAAAGTTTTAAGATTATAGTATACAGTACTGTATTTTCAGCATCACAAGTCGGGTTATCAACTCTGAGGTACAAAAAAATGTTGGCATATCATTTGAAGATTATTTCACAACACCGGAGGAGGGGCGAGCTTGACGAACATGCATTTATATCCTTCAGTGAGTCATTTAGTATTACACAACTGACAAACATCAGGGCTCGATGTCGCAGGAAGACTTACAGATTTCCCAGGACAGTTACATCAACAAGAGGATGATCCTGGGAAAACCAAGATAGGTGGCAACGAGATTCACAAGTGGCAGAGGTGATCATTTCTATCGAATAGCCGCCTACCTCAAGTGACTTACAACATCTTCTTTGGTTCTTTCGGTAAAGTCACGTAGAATGAGAATAAAATAATAAATTGATAAAATAAAATAACACAATAATATTCTCACGACGTTTCGGCCACAACACAAGCGGCCTTCATCAGGTGAAGGGAGCGAGACTGTCTGGTAGGACAGCGCTGGAGTGAGAGAGCCACGTTCAGATCACGGCTTTTAAGCTTAGAGCCGTGATCTGAACGTGGCTCTCTCACTCCAGCGCTGTCCTACCAGACAGTCTCGCTCCCTTCACCTGATGAAGGCCGCTTGTGTTGTGGCCGAAACGTCGTGAGAATATTATTGTGTTATTTTATTTTATCAATTTATTATTTTATTCTCATTCTACGTGACTTTACCGAAAGAACCAAAGAAGATGAATCATTGCAGTCACGAAAGCTTTAAATCGAAATTTAACTTACAACAATTCGCCTTCTCGCCGAAGTTTTGCGCGCTTGAACCCAACGCTTCATGTAAAGTGAATTTAAGCCGTATCACCATGGTTTATTACAAACAGTGGTAAGTACAGTACATATATTTTTTGAATGTGTGTCTATTATTGAAATATAAACCCTTGTTAAAGCTCTGGCCAATGTGCTGTATTAGCCATCTGACCCTCTGTGGCGTGTGACTTCATCCCGTCTCAAAGAGCAACAATCCTATGGTACATCTGGACAGTTTTAAAAGCTGCAGTTGAACATGTGGCTTGATGAAAGGCGAGCCACGATGATTGGCTTGCTGCGGATCCACTCGTCAGGCGATACAAACGTGCTTCATGCGATGCGTCGGTGAGGCTTTGGGCAAGGTAAATATCTTCGGGCAAAATGTATCCCGTGGTGACATGTCCACGAATTTCACATCAAAATTGGCTATGTTGAAACCTGCTGACCAAAGTTTAGAATGTATGGCATGAGAATATGTTATTATAGCGCGCAGTTAAAAAAAAATGTCACTATGTTTAACATATAATAATAAATTAATAAATGGGCCTGTGTTCATCTACTGCTGAATAAATGTCTCCCTATGATGTGTCACGTATGGGGGTTATTTGACCACACTTCACTACCCTGGTTAGTCCAGAACTGGTTCAGATGTCACTGTTTCACTGACGTTAGCGGTGGCCAGGAATCAAAGTCAGCTCGCCGGGTCAGAAGGCAGTGAGCGAACCACCGTCACCGCTCAACCGAATTGGAAACAACATTTACATCTAAACGTGAGCTAATTAACGTTCATTTTTGTTCGTACGCAGTGATTTATCCACTGGTCATCAGCTGCCGGATGTTCTGTATCTCGAGACTTCGCGAGATACCCTATGCCGTGTGGAGGGCCCCATTGGATAAATTAGCCACACGCGGTTGCGTTTGTGTCCCCGCCTCTCTCGAGTGCTCTCCTTGCTGAGTACTCTTCTGTAGCAGAGTGTTGGCATGCGGGTGGTCCATGCACAGCAACCCTTGTTGTTGTTGTTGCCCAATCCACTGCTAGATGAGCGCCTTGCCCATGCCATACGGGTCATGCGTATTATTGTATCATTCGTCACCACGCTCGCCAGTGTGGGTTTGTAAAGGTGGGGGCATAGACGTGGGGGCATAGAAGTACGGTGCAACAATGCTTCTTTGCTGCACTGCCCTCTGATTCCAAGCGCGCTCTGACGCCAAGCGCACAGCCTCGTACAACTGGAACAACCAGTTTCTTCACAGGAACAACCTTGCGTAGTTTCCAAGGTATGACGAAATTGGGTACATTCCGGATGATTTGGTCACAGGCTGGTAGCGGTCCGGGCACTGTAGTGAACATTCCCGAAACTTCTCTGGGTCCGAGCCATCATCCAAGTGCATGGTGGCTCCAAACATTATACAAATGTGGTCGCACAGTTTCTGCAACACACGTGTGCAGTCATGCAAGACACAATGCCTGAAACTGCTCCACCCACGTCGACGAATAGACGTAAAGAACAAATAGCCATGGTTCACTGCATCCCATTTTAGGACAGCTCAGAAGGTACAATGCACCTTTGCTTTGTGTGAGCAAACAGAACTTCACGCTGTAGTAACATTTGAATCGTGTTTCGACACATTTTTAACACAGTTTATCCACGGCATTTGGCCAGCAGAGAGCAAGACGGAAGCGTAACGCTGGATTAGATCATGCAAATAACAGAGGGATGCTATGCAAATTTCTATCGCAAAAACAATAACAATATATCCTAGAAAATACAATTTTCACGTGAGGAGGAGGAGGATGTTCCAGATATCGTGCCTAAAGAGGCAACCCACTTGCTCATTGCAAAATAAAACAAGGGAAAGTTCTCAACCACTTGGAATAACGTCATGGAAAATAAATTGGGACCAGCTGTTGCATAGACATGATCGGACATTTACAGGTTTTTTTCTTCTTCACAGAAATGAATTAGCGCAATCGTGGAGTCACGTTTCTGTCATTCTAGTTCGTAAAACAGGAGATAAAACCGATTTGATGAATTACAGGCCCATTTGCTTCTTTTTGCCACGTGTATGTATACGGGTCACAGATTATATAGAAAACCTAATGCTGTAATTGTTAATTTAGAGGCCAACCAACTATTAACAGCCATCTGGATTGAGAAAGGGGTTCTCTGCACATACTGTGCATACTATCAATAAGATTCCAGAAAAGACAAATACATATCAAATACCATTTGCCAAGCCCATGGAGGCTATGAAAAGGAATTTGATTACGTGGAAAATAATGCACTTACCCAAGCTATGGCAGATGAAGGCTTCATGAATAAACACTGGACTTTATCTAAACGCTTTATTCGAAAGCAAAACACAGAGATTACATAAAAAGGTAACAAAATGCAAATTAAAAAGTATGAGTCGGGCAAGGAGATATAATCTCACCAAGGCTGTTCACGGTGACCCGAGAAAATATTTTCGAAACATTGAATAGGATAAAAGGCATGAAGTTAAAAAGTGAATGCAGTGGCCACCCCATGTTCAATGACAATGCAGTCATCATAAGAACTAATGGCAATGACCTACAGGGCAGGAAATGATTGAAAAACATAAACGAGATGCCTTGTGGCAACGCAGGACTGTGATGGGTGGCCACAATGAGGGGAGACTTTCATCCAACAGTGTATAGATCATGGTTTATGATTATAATGAATACCAGAAGTACGTGGGCAAATGTGACCGTTATAAAGTACTCGATTTTACAACACACAATTATGTCCCTTGCATGTGCCAAAGTTCTCAGCCTTATCTAAACCATCAGGTAAAAGTAACAGCATGCGTGGGCATCTTGTTGCTCAGCCTTAGAGCACTAACTTAAAGAAATCGAGGAAATGTGGCCAACCGAGAGATAGCAGTGGAAAAGCCGCAAATGAAGATCGGGTTGTGGTCTTATTAAAACTCGTTAGGACAGTAAAGTCATCGACGTTCTGCTGCCATATGCGTCTGGGAGCCTCCTATGTGTAAATGGCTTATCTTTTTACATTATGGGGACAGTAATTCAAATGTGTAAAGTAGAATATTTATAGATTTCAATTAACGTTTCTATTTGCGATGTTTTTTTCTCTCTCGTCATGTATCTGAACGGTATAACATCTGTACCGTCGAAAGGACGCCGATAACAACGGAGCCGAACAGCTTATTGGACCCTTCCTGCTGAATTAAATCAAATCAATCTATCTAAGAATTGACCAATTACAGATTTTAATTAAGTCAGTTGTACTACTGGAAAGAGCACGCAACACAGGCCATCTGCGTGCTCCAACAGCAGAAATATCTTAGCGATAACAAACACAGCTACAGCACTCAATGTTTCGTGTTTGGAGACTACAGGGTGGTCTGGATATCTTGTGGCGCCCATGTAATCCTCCAAAACGTAATATTTGTCAAAAGTAAGGTTTATTTAAAACAGAGGTGAATATGCAAGGCAAGGGTAAATAAATGTTAGGGTTTCATTAATTGGGGGGTCACAATATATCTGGGACCATCCCTTTACAACAACCGAGTGTTGCTGGAGGCTGAGCTTTGCAGAACTGGCTGCATTAAGCGTGACAGGCGACGTGGACTCCTCACATGGCACGGCTAACACAGGGCACACCCTGGGATACACCAGGAAACAATGCATTCAGCCACAGCAGGAGCAGCAGCAGGAGCAGCAGCAGCAGCGGCGGGAGGAGTAGCGGGCAGCACTTCATTCACCTCCCCTCCGTGTTCCCCTAGGGTTTGAGGGCGATGAAAGGCGGAGGTGGGCTCGGTAGGTGAATGGGCGAGTGAGCTACGGATAAGGATGGTGGGTGGGGAAGGTGGTTGTGGAGGAGGTAAAATAGAAGTGGAGTCGTGGGTGGGAGCTGTTGGGAGCTGGTGGGAGGGCGGGCGTTGCAATGAGGAAGTGTTTGGTGTTCTCGTTGCAGCAGTTGAACAACTGAAGGGCATCAGTCAGACCAACAGCAGCAGCAGCAACTCCAGACTCTGTGTTGGACCGGGAATCTGTGTTGGACCGGGAATCTGTGTTGGACCGAGATCACCAGGCTGCACACCTGGCTACAGTAAAGGTAATCGCAGGGAGCTTATCTCGTATGTTCGCTGGTCTCAGTGACACACACACAACCTGTGATATGCCCAGTTCATTGAATATTACGGAGCCGGTATTATTGACATACATACCGAGTGTGTGTTGCCTACCACCAGATAGCTTTTTTTATATACATACACAGCCGACAATGTGTTTTTCATATGTATGTGTGTGTATATAATTTTATTGTTTCTGCTGCAGTTGATTTTTGTAATTAACATGAAATATATTTTTCGCACAACTTCTAAAGGAAATATATTATCAATGTTTCAGCCGGCTTAGCATTCTCTTTCAGGGGGAAATTTGTAAGTATATTTACTACTTTCGTGCAGTATAGCTGTTTGATTTAGTTAAAATAAAATTAGGGAAGTGGGGGTGATGTGTTTGTTATTGACAATAAAAAGAAAAGTGTAAATCCTAAAAAAAGATTATTTAATACTTAATTTGTTTATTCCTGTACTCTGTAGAACCGATATTGAGTTGTCTCTGTCATGTGAACGGCGAATAGAAACTGCTCCGACTCCACGGCCTAAATTGGAACTGTTGCTCTGACGACTAAATATGCTTATTGTTTTTTTTTACATTCTATGTCGTGTACGCGTTTTTTTGCTTTATTTTTAATGTTAAGTAAAAGTCATTTTTGAATTAACGCATTAATACTAAAAAAAAATGTGTCCCTCTATGTTGGTTGGGATATTAAAGGGTAATGCGCCGGGTTAAGAGGAGTTCAAAACAAATAATTCACTGACAGTGACGTGAAAAGAAAACCCGAACACGTTCGTGTTTAACTTTGTATGATACCAAAAAAAAGGAGGGGGGGAGGGGGATGACCTTTCTTTAGTTACTGACTGGACTGAGAGGAGACGAAGGGATTGACTGACTTCATAGCTTGGGGTTACACGTTACGTGGGCGGGACCTTGAAAAAACGAAAAATATTTTGAGACTTGAGAGATGATTTATAAAAAAATTTTTTACGATTTTTGAAACCGATGAGGACTTCGAGGTGCCGCACGGTGCACTGTGCGACAAAATTCGGAGGCCTTAATTTAGATGTTTTTTTTTGTGGTGCCCATGGGCTGACATCGGTGGCGAATGAAATCCGAAGGAGTCTCGGGGAAGAAAAAAAACCCCGCACCTTCGCTCACCACTGAGCCGTAGTGAGCAGTGTGAAGTGTTTGGCAAACGACCCTGACGACCCACGCGACACGAGGGCATTATTTTAACCGGTGTTGACTCTTTAATGTTTTAATGACTACCATCTCGAGCCTCGCTGGAGAGTGTAGATGGTCACCTGTTCAATCAAAGGCTAGTCGTGTATCTTCAATTTCTTTCGCACCCTACGTAGCCAACCGTGCTAATTAATCGGAGGTGCAGGCGAGGACAACAAACCAACACACAAAAAGCAGTTTTTTTAAAAGAAATTAGTTTTCAGTTCAGGATTCAAAGTGCACAGTGGCACAGTAGCTTCCGAACATCGGAAAGGGAGAGCGTTCCAGACGGCCGCAGAAGCGCATCTGAAAGCGCGCGGTGCGGTGACCGTCCTCGCTCGATGGCCAGCAACAAGCCGGTGCTGCGAGGATGAACGGAGCTCGCACGATGGTTCACGTTCTTTGAGGTGGTCATATTCTCGCTGCCTGTGTTCAAAGCTAAGTTTCATTCATCTTCGGTGAGCACGATTAGCACGGTTGGTTACGTACGGTGCGAAATAAGTTCCAACGTACGTACGTGTACCACCTTTTCTGGCCCAAATCACCTCGTGCTACAGAGGGGACAGCTGCCACGGACGGGTTTTCGTGTCGCAGTGCGCCTTGAAACGCACCGAATGGGATGTGCGATATAAATAAATATTCACTCGTGATGACGATGATGCTTTCAGCCGCCTTGGGTCGGTTTTTTTAAAATTTGTGGCTCATGCGCAACTGGCAGTCTCCATTAATAATTTTCGTTTAAAATAGCAGATGCGACCGGATTCATTCATTCTTCCCCAGTTCTCTCGGCGTCAGTCGAGTTGCGGCCTCGTCGCCACGAGGCACGTGCACATTGTTCCTCACGGACAATGAACCCTCTGGAGTCAATGGTTGTCGCCTGAACTTGCGGTGCTGATTTATACAACAAATCAACATTTGCAGGGGGGGAAATGGCCTTCACACCCCCCCCCATTCGAATCTTTCAATCAATGATTACACTTTATGCAGGCCTAACATGTGTTTTTTTGTACAAAGCTTTTTATCACCACTAGATTGTAAAAGTGGAATATAAATGTGTATGTACAGCCCTTTGTCAATCCACTGCTCAATAAAGACCTCCCCACGCTGCGTCACTCATGGGGGTTGTTTGCCCATACTTCACCACGCCTGTTCAGGGCTGGTGGGTGACCTGTTTAGGTGATATCACTCACCATCGATAGTCGCTGTGGCAGGGAATCAAACTCGGATTGCCATGTTTATAGCTCGGTGCGCGAACCACTGCACCACCTCTCTGCCAAATGCTGTTTAAATTGCATTTAAATTCTAACATATAAAGCGCGTACTGATACTTGCTGTCTGTGCCGTGAGCTATGTAATCATACTTGTAACTAAAATCTGTACCGTATAACATTTGTACCGCTTGCAGGACACCCATATATATCCTTACAAACTCATTGTGCCCTTCCTGCTGCTAGAGTAAATAACATTTATAAATTATACTCGGGTGTTATATTCCAGGCGTTGTGCTCAAGACGCTTTTTGGCGAACATGGGATCTTGAGTTTGTCTTGATAGGTAGATCTTCACCAAGGTCTGCAAACCTTCTTATAACGTCTACACAGTATTTTAGAGTCTTAGCAATGCAATGTGCGGTGTATCACGTTCGCACAAGACAATGTGTGTCTGTGTGGACACAAATTATCCTTTTATTGGCCACACACATGCAACTGCGTGGCTTCTGCTTGTGTAATACAGAAATGAATTAGGCCATCAATGAGTGAACAAGTGAGCATGTTTAAACCAGCACCACTACTAGTCCCTAAGTGCTGCCCTTGCACAAGAGGTATCAGATTAACCTGTTGCCCAAAAACGATCATAATTCCTGCAACTCTTTTCTGCGTTTATATATTTGAAGAAGAAGAAAAAAATGAAATATTTAAGGTCTTCAAAAATGTGCCCTTTTAAATAACTACGCAAGGTTGCCTTGGGACAAAAAACAAAAGAGAAGATTGCCTTTGTCCTCAAACATGTCCAGCCTGTTGAGTGAGCAACGAGAGGAATGTTGATTCGCCCCCTGTTATCTGTGGATGCTGCCATGGTGTTTACCGGTGAGCACACGAGACTTGCGATCCATAGATCGCCGGTTCAATCTCCACGGAGTTGGCATTTGACATAATGGGCACGTTCATCACAACTTAGTAAACCGGTGGGTCACGTGTGGTGGGGTAAAGTGTGGGTGCTCCCACCTCTTACAAGATGCCTGGCCTGCGTGGAAGAGTAGACCAAAATCCCCTATCTCTAGAGTGAGTATAGCTCCCTTCTGCCAGCAGTGGCAGGTGCAAGACATTTTAGGGCTGCACATTTACCCTCTGTGGCGTCCACATAATTCTTGCCTAGATGATGAAAGGATAGCACTGACAATAACACGACTTGTAAAGGATGTCAGACAATTAAAAGTGTAATTGACCGACGTGATGAATGCAATTGCGCGTTTCAGTACATTTTAATTTCAAACTAATTGCTGCTCGCAGTGGGTCTGGTGGGTGGAAATAAGATATTTGCATGGAAAAGATTGACCTTTGGATTTGACTTCATTGCTTTAATGTGTTACGTGAAGCAGCTGAACAGTGGTCGCCACGTCACGCTATGAACCCGGTAACCGAGTTTGATTTTCGGTCACGGCTAACATCCGAAGGCCAGTAACATCAGAACTGGTTCTGCTTGTCCTTCCTGCCGCCCTCCAACATTTACCAACCTGCACTGACCAGCATGGTGAGGTTATGGTTAAACAAAAAAAACACATGACTAACATGGCGTGTATTGGGAATGACTGGAATTTGTTAATTTTACATGTTGAAAGGTGTTTTTTTTTAATGTTTGACACTTAGTTAAAAAGTGAAGGGTGTATTTCTTTTTTTATTTTCAGTCAAAAAAAACTGGGCTGACATTGGGTAAACTCGTGTCGTCCAGTGCAATGTGGCTCAGCTTGGCAAAGTGTAGTTTTGTTTTAGCTTCAATTTCTGTGGTTGTAACTTTACCATGCAGTGTGTGTACTCACCTGTATCTCGTTTACGCTCCCTTCCACCCTCGTGTGTGCGTCAAGGCGAACGGGGAGCGGGAGAGACGCTTGCGACGTTAACAGAATGAGGCTGTCGGGTGAGTTATTTGTGTGTGTTTTCTCTACGCGTTGAGACGTTTTCACAATGGCCCGTTCCCTCGACACGCACGACACCCGTCCTCGTTAAGTCACCATTGTCTCCGACAAGCCCACGTGTGTAAAAGGAGGCACTTGGTTTCGTGCATAGGTTGTGTTTTTTTACATAAGGGTAAGTGAGATTTTTTTGTGGCTGCTGCCAGCTACAAAGGGTGAGGCTGTGCTTTATGAAAGAAAGAAAACAGCCTCGATAAAAAATGTTAATCAGTATACTTTAATGTTATCAATCTTGTTCAATCTTGACGTTAATGAACAGGTTTTTTTGGGGGTTAGATCACGTAAATATAAATGTCGTTAAACCCACCACCACCCGACACAGCCAATTAAACCAAGGTTTGTCACGTAAACAAAAGATGCCTATTTGTCAATAGTTGAGCACACTTGTGTGTTGGAGAGTAAACCCACAACATTTACCAGTCGAGTACGTGTGGTGGGTTTGTGTTGGGTGGTGGCGGGTTTAACGACACATTTATATTGACGCAATCTACCCCCCAAAAAACCTCTGTTATGGATGTTGGTCGCGAAAGCCTCTGTGTTAAATTAAGAAATTTAGTTTTCCCCCTCATGATTTGTGCCCAAGCCCCTTTTTTTCCCAAAATTTCAATTCGCTTGCATGGGCCCAGTGCCTCCCAAAGAAGCTAATAAAGCACCCGCTTCAACTGGAGCTACCACAGGGCACACGGGGCTGCATGATGACACCTTCACCTGCTGACCCCTGACCCCTGACCCAACGTGCTTGTAGGAATGCTGGTGAGGGTGTTGGTCATCGCCGGGTGCATTGGCCTCCTGTGGCTGATGCTCAGCAACATTGTGCGCCCCTACGCCCTGCGTGCTCTCGACATGGAGCTGAGCAAAGGTAACTGCTGTGTCTTGAGACGTATTCAGTGGGCGGTATATTAATGCGCACGTATCTATCTATGTACGTATGTTTGTTGGACATCTTTGGCACCATACGTAGCCAACCGTGCCAATTGGAGGTGTAATTAAATTGTCGTGGTAATCATGAGTAAAATTCACGCGTGAGGCGTGGGGAGAACTACAGGCTTGGTACTGTAATCTTAAAATAAAAGAAGCACCCAATTTAATGTGCCTCTCCAGTAATTTCCAAGAATTTACAGGCTTTGTTCAAACTCACGATGTCAATGACCACCGTTGCCTCTGAATAATTAATCGAAACACATCACCCTCTGCTCATTTCCAATACTGAGGCCTCATCGCTCACGGTTTGCAAAGCTAATGCCTTTTTTGGCTCCGAGCTCTTTGTTTTTCGAGTGGTATCTGCCACGTCCCGTTGAGGCAGCGTTGCACACGCACACACACACGCATGCACGCACATGCATTGTGCGACGTGAGCGTTTGCCGTTTTTGGCATTGCAGGTGAAGAAAATGTAGGAAGGGATGTGTTGGATAAATCTGTGAAATTGGACAACGGAAAAAAACCGTGCTGGTGAGCCCGAATGCGACGTGAACATGCGTTACGAGCACGGGGAAGTTGATGTGACGGAAGTGTGGGATTAGCCCTTCTCCTTTTAGATGCACTTGGGAATATAAATAACTTAATACGTCTAACCATACAGCACAATACTGTACATTTAACGGCACACAAAGATGTCCATCGCGATCGTAAGGGCTGCGCGTCAAATGTTAAATCTATTTGTTCTCCCGCCTGCACTAATTCTGGCAGTCATTTTACCGACCAATAAAGTACGATGGGTTACACGGATCCCCAGTCAGGATTTTAACTTGAAAACAACTTTGGGTCAAAGGTTACACCAACATGGCAAACGTGGGCCAAAAGGTGCATGCTTACTCCACCTGGCATGAGAGACTTTCACTGCGGTGCCACGAACGCCCCCCTGCCCATCTCCCACCCACCGTTGCAAGCACTGTGGCAGTACTTGCAACGTATAGAATTGAATGTCTTTCTCGATACCTTTTAAATTAAATTCTATAACAATGAGAAAGCACGAGAAGGCGTCGTGCTGTGGCTCTTGAGAAACTTTCATTGACCATGACGCTTCTGTGTTTTTCACGACAGTTCCGTACTGAATGTGATTTAAAAGCTAACATGTTTTTTGGGGGGGTATACGGGTGATCCAAACTGCTTGGCCAATTTGTACCAAAAATGCATTGTTTCACGACAAAGCGAAAACGTGGCAAAGATTTGCGAGCATTTCCCTTTGTTGCGTTATGTTACACTGTTTTGGAGTTATTTACGCTCAAAGTTAGTCAATGCATTCAGGTACCCATTCAAGCTCAGGCTCCAAGTCGCTTGCCCTTCCTTAGCAACAACAAAAAAAACCACGCGGTTTAGATGCACTTTGTGCTTCATAATAAACACTCCTGTACGCTTGACTTGCATTGTGAATAATTAAACAAATTTCTATAAATACTGCCTCCGATAGAGCGCCTATTGCTTGCCAAGTGTGCACACGTTCCCGTCGCAACTGGCACGCTCCCTCGCGTGTACAGTAATCCTCCTGTGATTTGAAGCACTCGGGAATATACTGCTGCGATAAGATCTCTCGTGCACACAAAAGGCATGCTGTCTGGTTTAACGCACGAGGAAATGAGTGTCCAGCTCCATACACATACCACAGATATCGTCATAATGGTCATGAATGGCTGATAATATTTCTGTTGATGTATCGTGTTGTCATTGTGCTTTTAACTCAAAAAACATTCAAGTGCGGTGCAAGGATGATGAATACCGTACACCAGAAATTAGGACAGAGAGAGACAAACAAATCGTCACTATAAATGTAAGTTTGTGTGCTATAGAAATCACTTGACGGAGTGGCCCGTTGTGATTGCTCACTGGAGCCACGTACAGCTGAATTACAATCTTCCCCCACCCCACCCCTTCTTCACGTTATCGCCGTACCTATCAGTAAGCCAAAACACGTTTTCGTTCTTTTGCCCCGTCACTCCACGTTTAACCGTAATACCAAAAAGTCGCGCAAGACTACGGCCGTGTGGCGCTCGCCTTTAAACATTGCGGCGACAGCCGTGAGCTGAACAATTAATCGATTTCAAATCGAAATCGCAATTTGAAACAATGCGATTAGCTAATCGCAAAGGCTGTGATTTTTTTTGCAGATTTGAAAAGTCCTCTTACTTTCTTATTGGAATTGTTTTATTTTGTATTATTGTAACTTTATTTAACTTAACAATTGTTCTATGTTTGATTGTTCTATTTCAATTAAAAGATTAAAATAAATACATGTTGGAAACAATTAATCTATTTTAAGTTCTCATCCTTGCATTACCATATATAGAGCAGTTCGTATTTTGATTGTATCATGTGGCAATGCTCCATCACATGTTTTAAATCTAATGCACAGTGAATATTAAAGCTTGACTTAAAACAATGTGATCGCAAATCAAATGGCAATCGCAATATCTGTCAGAAAAATCGCAATTAGATGTTTTCCCCAAATCGTTCAGCCTTCCTGTGAAGCCACCCTGTCTTTTATGCCAACGAAAGCTCCGTCGGATCGGAAGTCTCCCCGTCGGGGAAGGTGACTTGCATCCCACGTGTTTGGCAAATCCCTCCTAAAAGGGGGGTACACGTTGTAGAAAGGAGGGAAAATCGGAGTGGCTGAGAAGTTCTCTCGTACAGGGAGCGTATTTCACTCAATCACTCAAACTTTGTTTCAATAGCACTATTCGTGCAAAAAAATGCAATACATAGTGCTTTACAGGCATAACCACTAAAAAGACTTGTCCAGATGGGTTCCATTGACCCATTTACTGTACTGCCAGCTGTTGGCCGTTTGGAGACCCATTTGGGTTTGGACTTTTCCAACCTTGCCCCCAAATGGATAGTCACAGGCATGCACCGTGACGTTGCTGTTTAGTAGCTCTATATTTTTTGTGTCCACCAGTGAATTGAACCGTTCGTGTCTGCTAATTGCTCTGCAGAAGGGCTATTGCCTGCAACATGAAGCTCGCCTGATGTATTTCAGCTCTAAATATGTATTAATAATTAACATGGGGAGTACTATTATTTATCTATTTGCAGTATTTATTTGTACCACGTGTCAGCATTGGGACATTATCATGGGCAGTTGAGTTTCATGGCTGTTGAAACAATAAAGCCATTTAGGACAATATTATAATAATATAGTTGAGTGGGAATTTCTCCTTCAGGTATATAAATAGCTCTGGTTGCAGAGAAAAGAGGTTTATTTTTTTTATTTTACTGGAACAGTGGAGGCTGATCGCTTCATTGATCAGACGCTGAGCTCATTGCGGTCAGCACGTGTCACACGTGGAAATATAGCCGCTTTTCCAGACCCTGATTATCCATTATGCCAGGTCGGTCCTGCCATTGAGTCATTCTCTCCAGGGGGCTCACAGCCTCGGATCGTCTGTGCTTCCCTGCGCTGCAGCAGTGTGGGTTTGTGAACCCAGGGCAGGATGATCAAATTACAGTTATCAAATGTGCTCCTTTAATCGGTACAGGACTGCGTTCGGAAAAAGACTGGCCCAATATCCCGAAGCATCGGCAGAAAATAGTGGCGTGGCACAACTAACGCATTTCGAGTCGTATAATTATAACCACACCTGGTTGTTTTTTCCAGGTAATCTCCCTTGAGAGCGGTAACCAGGGCTCCGCTTGCTTAGATCTGAACGAGCTGAGGCACATTCCAGGTGATTTGTTATTGTAGATAAGACGAGCAAGACAACAAACTGGCTGTTGCCAGCAGGCATGGTGGAGCCACGGGGCCCGAGGCGTGGGAGATGACCTGACGTACAGGATTGTCTTGGCTTAAAGGTGCTCATGCTGGCAACGTACTTCTTAATCGTCACGTGAACTACGGTCGCCCTCACAGCAGTGGCGGCGGCTTTTGGCAAACCCATGGAACAATGACGGTCACCGCACCGCGTGCTTTCAGACATGCTCCTGCGGCCGTCTGGAACGCTCTTCCGATACTAGGAAGCCACCGAAGCTAAGCACTTTCAAAATCTAGATCGATAACTCATTTCTTTAGAACAGCTTTTTTGCATTTAGTTTGTTGTTTTTCCTCCGGACCTCCGAACAGCACGGTTGGCTACGTACGGTGCGAAAAAAGTTAAACATACATATATATTTTTTTACTATACACAATTATATAAATTGGACTCAAGCTTGGAGCTATCCATGCATCAATGGAAATAGGCAACGAGGAGGGTACTAAAATGGGGCTAGGTGGCACTCAACCTTTACTATAGTTTTATTGATGGATATATGTGGCTGGTTTATTTGAAACTGGCGCTCTTTCGTATTATGATACATGAGTTATTGATAACGTATCATTTGTAGGTATGATTGGATGTGATTATCCTGAAGACTCGATGAGTTTCCAACAAGACGGTGGCAGGAGCATAGGCAGATTTTGGAAGTTTGGGGTGTCTAACTAACGAACCCTTCCCAGTTGTTTTTTGGGGTTTGATCATGGACAGGATCCGCAAACTTCGCTCCCACTTCATGGATAAGATGATTGATACTCTACCAAAATTCTATGAATTCTATGCAGCTATTGGCTATTGACTCGGTCCTACTGTTCATGCTCGAACTGTGTATTTAAAGGTACCATCGTCAATGCATATTGGCTTTTACGCCACCACGTTGAAGGGAGGAACAAAATGTTAAAAAATGTCACGAGTCTCTCTTAGCCAGCTCTAAACGTGTTTTTCACGTTCATTGCGTTCCTCGACACCCACGACACGTCATGGCGGTAGCAGCCCTGGTAGGTGGCGAGTTCACAATACGATCACAGATTTTTTTTATCAACAAATGTGGGCTCTGCTGGTGGGATACAGGCATGTAAGCGTCATCTCCCTCTGTCTTTGTGCTGTAAGCCCTCTGTCGAGACGTCCTGTACGCGATGTCGATCGCGACCCTTCTCCACTCTCTTGCACTCGCTTGATAACGTGATGGGATATGAAGCATTTTTGCGCGTGTTTCTTTGAAACCTTTGGCAATAAAACCCGCTTGCAGAGGAGTGTGGAATTACTCTGCATCATCGCCGCCGATCGAATCTGATGTCGGCGCATCCAATCTTAGGTGATAATGGCACAGGTAGAAATGGCACAAGTGAAAACCGGGAATAAGTAGCACAAGGAAACGGGACTGTATTATCAGGTATAAGTACCGTACTAAAAGTTGTATACAGATCTGAATGAAAGAGATGGTTAACCCTAACTTTTTGATTCTTTCTTGTGCCATTTTTATCGTACAATTTTTTTTCCTGTGCCGTTTTTACCAGCCACCCCAATCCACATACCACCCACCTGGACGTAGCAATCAGGTTCCGTAGGCTCGCTGCGTAGTAAGCACGTGTGCGTTGCTCTCTTTCCGAGCAACAACTGTGTTTGTCGCCTTAGTGGTTAATATTTGTTTTCTCTCCTTCCAGATGAGAGCAAAATGGAAAAGAAAATCGGTAAGTCGCATTAAGACACCGGACAAATTATTGCCACCTGCTTCCAATCCATTCAATGATACTTCTCTATTGGCTATGATCCACCCCAAGTTCTACCCTGATTGTTAATTCTCCCAGGGCTTAATCTGAGTGGGGTATATTGTAATCATTGTTGTTGAATGCAATACGATTTGTGTTCGTATTGCATAAAAAATATACACCTGTATCTCCAGATGCTGAATCTAGTGCAGGCGGTTGGAATCAAACTGTGTCACCTCCTTGCCAATCCGCTGCTGCTCTAACGATGTAGCGATGGAGTGTGCAGGCGGTGCAACTGCACCGGAGCCCACCGGCCCCGAGGGGCCCTGGCTCTGGGCTATAAGCCTCGGGGAAACTGGGCAGGGCCCATGCTAATCACAATGCATTTGGGCCACAAATAGAGTGTTGGCTAAATGCCCGTTCCAAAATAGAGGCACTGTTTTGAATTTAACAGAAATCCAAAGTGAAATCCCGCTCCTTCAAACATAGGGTCGTTCTCATCTCCTATTTACTGCTCTGAGCCGAAGGTGGAGAGGACACGTTCATGTCGCGGAAGCGGGTCTTTCCACAGCACAACCACTGATGACTTCCCCACAAAGTGGCCTTCCTGCTGTTAACCTTAACCTTAGTTAAGTTGAACCCCGACGAGGATTTACATACTCGCAACCTTACGATCGAGAGACGTGCACTCTAACGCTGTGCTATGGATATAAATATACGGGACCGCGGTTGTACTGAAATGTCGCTCTACTGCTGTGTCAACACCCACACATCATCTTCAGTCTCGGAACTTAAGCAAGTTTGATCCTGGTTAGTAATGTTATTGGTAAGTTAATCCTATGAAATTGGGTTCCGGACTTAAATTGGCTACATTCAAGCTGTGGCACATAGAAGAAGAAAAAAAATTGTGCTCTTCATGTGGCAAACATTGCTTCTATAGCAGATGGGAAAGTGCTGCCCTCCCTAATGTGTGGATCAGCGGTCGCTTCAAGGGATCTCCGAAATAGCTCTGATGTTCTTTCTGCGTGATTGCCAACTATTATTAGGTGGTTTAACACGTAGGCTTTCGCGACCAATATTATTCATAATAAAGGTTTTTGGGTTAGATCGCGTTTATTTATAAATGTGTCGTAACCCTCCACCACCCGACACGGCCAATCAGCAAAAAAGTGTCACGTTGACAAAAGACAAATAGTTCACTACTTTAGCCCACCGGTGTGTTGAAGAGTGAATCCACAACATTTACAGTTTGAGTACGACGTTTCGCTGGTAATTACATCCAGCATCATCGGGCAATTCGCCAGAATGGTAAAGCCCTCACTTGCTCCCTGCTACTCCATTTAAGTGGATTCACTCTTCAACACACCGGTGGGCTAAAGTAGTGAACTATTTGTCTTTTGTCAACGTGACACTTTTTGCTGATTGGCCGTGTCGGGTGGTGGAGGGTTACGACACATTTATAAATAACGCGATCTAACCTGAAAACCTTTATTATGAATATTATTAGGTATAAGCAGTTTTCCGTGGCTTAATTTGCAGATGGCGAGAAAATATTGGTAATCAGAGACTGGAATTGCTAAACACTGTTTGGAGTTCTCTCCACTGCCAGCATGATTTACAACTGTTGCTCCGCATACTAAATATTAGTTGTTGTGTATTATCAGTTTCTCAATTATGCACAGTTGTGCCACCATATATCACTTATTATTAAAGACCCAGGTTCGGTTGCTAATGACGCATTTCATAACATGCCATGGGCTTTTTGTGTTTACTCTGCTTAAAATAAACACCCCGTTGCCTCGAGGTTAACCCTCTGGGTAGGAAGACAAAGGCAGCGTGGTGTGGTGCTGACTCCAAAGGTACACCGTGTGCTTTGCTGGCCGCTGGCTGCAAGGGTCGGCAACCAAAGCAACCAAGAAGAGACTTTTTTTTTTCAAATTCGGTAATAAAAAAACAACAGCTCGGTATACCAAGAGCCGCAATGCACTGTGTGGTGAATACGAGACGGTGAGTCCTTAATAGACAACGTCACGAAGCAGTCGTCACAGAGCCGTCTCCCGCAGGTTGCCTACCGCTGGCCTAACCAATCCGAAAGAAAACATTTCACTCCGTGCATGAAGCCCGACTGTGGTAGCGTTGTTGTTGCGAGTCTATAACGCCCCACTGCAGGACAAAAGCCTCCACCGTTGTCTTTCATTCCTTCCTTTCCTCCGTTGTTCTTTTTCCAGTCAATGGCCCTCAAGCTCTGCGATGTCCTCCAGCGGCGAACTCCCTCGCGATCTCTCTCCGCTTCTCTCCCCGTCGTTCGGTCGCCATTCCGGACTTCGTTTTTCTTTCTCACCCCTCTTCGGTTGTCCTCGTCACGTCTCTGCCGCCCATTGCCACTTTTAATTCTCGTTACTCCTTGTTCGCATGTCTTCATTTTTTTAACGTAACTCTTTGACTTGCTTCTAACGCACTTCTTTCCATAGATGTTTAGCAAACATTTAGCTCGGAAACGGGTAAAACAAATGCAAGCTACAAGTCTGTTTTGTGTACGCATACCTATATTTTCCATTTTTTTAACCGAGATTTATATTTCACAATATTTATACAAAACGTGTTTCGTTACATTGCACATCTGTGCAGACTGTGCATACCGTTTAACAAAGCAGGATATAGAACACAAAATGTCAAACGTTAGATTTAATTTGTTGAAAAAAACCCACCCACATTTTCCTCTTACATTGCATCATATATTCTCTTAGTAAGCTGCAACTGAAAGTGCACCAACAGCAAATATGTATCGAGGATACACTTTGGATTGTTTAAAAAAAAAACTAAAATTAGCAAAGACAGTGCCTTCAGAAAACGACAAGACTATTTGCATTGATGAAATCCTGTTTGACTTCATAGCTATTATTCGCCCCATGGGCGAGTGGCACTTTGCAGTAGAACATGTGATGAGAATCAGTAAGCCGAGTCCGGAGAGAAACAGAGGCAGGGGTCTGGGCACACTCTCTGGAAATTAGATACATATATATTAAACTCACGCCAATGGGTTCGACTACAGAGATTGTATCTGGCCACACTTTTATTCCTCTGGCGTGTGCCCTCATTCATCCGATCTTGTGAGAAGGAAGTTGACGTATGCGGCGCATATCCTAATAGGGTCACGGCCGGAGATATGACGAAGATGATTGTGTGAGGGAAAATGGAAAGGAGGAGGGGAAGAGAAAGAAAACTGATTAATTATTTGGACAATGTGATACAGTTGGAGGCTGAAGATCACAGAAGGTGGAAATCATTTATCATCGATATTAAGCTTCAGTTATGACACCAGATGGATAGATCCTGTCTCACTCTCTCGGCCTCTCATATGCTACCTCGCCTTCAGGTTGCTTTACCTTTCTCTCCCTGAGTAATCGCTGATATTTGCCTCCTCTTAACTGTGTGATCTTACGTGCCTAACTCTGTTGATTTTTTTTTACCAAATCGCCCGGAATGCGGCGATCTTATCAGATATGATACGCTAAGAAGGCCTGAGCCTGGATAGCCCTCGAATGAGTGACCACCGTGCATAGAACAGGTTGTTATAGGCTGCTGCTGTGTTGTCAGCGGAGGGGCAGTGAAGCGAATTCCAGTGTTGTGCTGTCCTCTACTCAAGTATCTTTGCTTCACCGAGCTGCACTGGCCAGCGTTGTGAAGAAACGCATCTGATTGCACCTCCCTAAGAGGCTACCTGTCCCCATTTCATATCTGCGAAAGAAAAATGGTGCATAGCTCTCAGATGTCCTCTTCTTTTTTGGTTGTACCGCATGGTGTCCCGACGTTTCGCTCCCAGCCCATGGAGATCGCGGCAGCACGTGGAGCGAAACGTCCGATGTAACGATAGAACAACATCGTGGTGAAAGCCGAGAATACAACGGATAGATAAACAGCACAACGGCGAAAGCCTCGAGCCCCAGTAAGTTGGTGCCCTATTTATTTGCCTATGCAACGCCTTCATGGCGGGAGCGCACATTGGGATTCACATTCGATTGTAATTTCAGCTGCCGCCGATGAGCTATCTCGCGGCGTTTGCGCGTCAGAGGCACAGCTGCACTTTCATTCATTTTGAAACGTATCGCCATGCATGCACAGCTGATTTGTCGGGCAACATTATATATGTGTATTAAAAAGCTGACCCCCCCCCCCCACCTCTGGCTGATAATTGGTATGATCGATGATACACGCCCAATTATGTTGGTAGACTAAGAACATTGTGGGCTGATGTTCATAATCATTTACAAAAAGTGAATGTACCAATTGCCCCTCATTCACAACACACTGAGGCCACCCAAGAGAAGTGAACACGCCCGAGAGTTCGAAGACGAGGAAATGGAGCAATGGAATTGGCTCGCGTGCAGGAGCTACAGTATTTTTTTTACATCACGAGACGGTGAACTTCTTTCGCACCATACGTAGTCAACCACGCTCATCGGTTGGCTACGGGAGACCTTCACACAAGCAGTGGATACAGTGAGGGAAAAAAGTATTTGATCCCCTTCTGATTTTGTACGTTTGCCCATTGACAAAGAAATGATCAGTCTATAATTTTAATGGTAGGTTTATTTGAACAGTGAGAGACAGAATAACGACAAAAAAAATCCGGAAAAAAACGCATGCCAAAAATGTTATACATTTAATTGCATTTTAATGAGGGAAATAAGTATTTGACCCCTCTACAAAACATGACTTAGTACTTGGTGGCAAAACCCTTGTTGGCAATCACAGAGGTCAGACGTTTCTTGTAGTTGGCCACCAGGTTTGCACACATCTCAGGAGGGATTTTGTCCCACTCCTCTTTGCAAATCTTCTCCAAGTCATTAAGGTTTCGAGTCTGACATTTGGCAACTCGAACCTTCAGCTCCCTCCACAGATTTTCTATGGGATTAAGGTCTGGAGACTGGCTAGGCCACTCCAGGACCTTAATGTGCTTCTTCTTGAGCCAATCCTTTGTT